CAAATAGCTTAGTAAAGTACTCATGTAGGTACTCATTCATCATTAGCTTTCTAGAAGAAATGTCTGTAATTGTAAAAAAGAAATATAGTTTACAGAGTTTTAATTTAATTCTTTTCTTTTTTTTTTAGCTCAATCCAGTGTTGCTGGCTTGTTAAGCAAAGCCAAAGAGTTCTCCTGTGATTCCCAAGGAAAAGCTCAGACAGCAGCTAAACCTGCTAGTAAATCAAGTTTCTTAAAGAAATTGAAAAATTTGACTGGATTCTCAGATGATCCTATCAGAGGTCAGTCCAAATAATTCTTATATATATATATATATATATATATATATATATATATATTACGGGAAAAAGAAAATTATAATATACTGAAGTTTTATTTATCAACTGTGAACACTTTTAGGTGAGAGGCAGTAGATGTGAGTCTGTTGTTGGATAATGAAGAGATTTGTGTTAAAATGTAGTTCTTTCTGTAATATGCTACAGTTTGCCAGATAAACTACGTTCTTAAATATCATTAGTCCAACAGAGGAATCTATCTTAGGCATGCTGAAGGTGTTGACCACTGGGAAGGATTTACCCACAACTGAGAGATTTGCTCCTCATTGACCTGTCCAGAGGTCTCCTATCCACTAGATGATCATTTAATCACATCTATCTTTATGAACCCCACTGTTGTTCCCCCTTCCTGATTTGCTCCTATAATTTACCCCATTAACTGTGAAAGAGCAGTCACCACAGTTTACAGCCTCCATTATAGACAGAAAAGGCTGTTTATCATATTGTGACGTTTCTCCACTATCCAGGCTCTCTACAAACTGCACCACATGACACAATGAACTTAAAGAACCACACAACTCAGGGCTCCAAAGTAACAGTAGTAGTTTAATTTCAAATACATCAGAATTGGCAACAACATTAACACTGACTGTTCAAAAACCTAGCCTCAGCTCCGGACTGACTTCACACACCGTGCTGATTCTGACTTCGCCTCACACTGGTCACATTGCGAGGTAACATGAAGTGTCTTGACACTAACACACTCACTCTTATATAGGGTCCTACAGGCCTTCTAGAATCGGATGGGACGTCACTTGACCACTGGTTGATAACATTTGCTGTGACTTGCGTGCGTAATATTTACAACATGGGTCCTCGCCGAACTGGCATGTACTGTCACTTGTCATGGTTGACATGGTCTTGCGCTGGACTGGGGTGATTTGGGTAGGCTAAAAACACACACAGCACTACCCCCATCTGTATCACCACCAGATTTATAACAATATTCAATTCTCTCCACATGCAATGCTTGTTCACTTGAACAGCCGTGGAAGTCCACTGTCCCTATTTCCTGTTAGCCTGTCTTCCCTAACAGACATTTCCATGAGGATGCCACTGCCACGCTTAGGCTGGGAGAAGTTACCCTTGTGCAAACCTGCCAGAAATTTCTTAAATTAGTTCATTGAAGGATAGCCACAATATCTGGTATGGCTTTGGTTAACTTGTTTTTTTTTTAATAACATTAAATCATTCTTGTATCTCCAACCAACAGATGAAGATGTCATGTCAGAAGCTGATCTGGTCAGGGATAATGGCAGGAAACAGCGCTCTATACAGATGGTTTCGGGCCAGTTATCTAAAGCCCTTACGAAGCTAGAGAAATTAAAGCAAGATTATGAGCGCTCGAAATCTCACGCACCACCAAAGCGCTATGTTGACTTGAAGGACATGATCAAAACAGCAGTTGCTGAAAAGTTGTGATATGGTTGAGATTGAACCCAGGCATTCAAGTATGATTTTAAAAAACTATTACATATAGTGGCGTCTTAAAAAATATTTGGTACTCACAAGTATAAAGTGCTATGCATGCAATAATTATATAAAGCAATATTATAAAGTATATGACTTATATTGATTGTATACCTGCTGTTGTAAATAGTTTAATATAGCTCAGTAAACAATGAAAATTATTATGACAATAAGATTAGATCATACTGTCATTTGATTTTAATCTCTCTGTGGAATTATCTGTTTTAACAAAATCAGTTTAAGATATGTATCTTGACCAAACATCAAAGTTATAATGATATAAGCTCATGATTTACTTTGTCAAGTTACATTCAGACTCTGTCGTGTACATTAGACATTGTTTTTATTTTACTTTGGATTCTAGTAAAAAATATTGCATCTGGGAGAATTTTTGTTATACCTTCTGTGATGCATTATAGCTACCAACTTCATTGTGATGTACATTAGCTTTCTGTAGGTCACTTTAATAATAAACAATGGATACTGTTTTCTCATTCTTTATGTCCTCAGGGTTTAGTATATAAGGTTTTATTATAAATAAATGTGGGAAGCGTGGTCGAGAGGCCAGGTAAGCTTGAACTTGGCTTGACTTGGCTATCTATGAATGGGGACTCAAGGTTTGACACCTGACTTGAGCAGAGTTGTGTTTACTGATCGCCTAAAGGCAGCATAGAAAATCTTCTCCCAAATACCACCTCCCCCCACTGGTCCACAAATGAGATTGGACCATAGCACTCTGAGCATGTTATAAGCATGAAAGTAGCGCTATATAAAAACTATAATTTAATTGGTCTAGTTTATCCCACATCTGATCTCTTTGGTTCTTAATGTAGTTTTATTTTTTTCTTTATTATTGGACACACCATAGCTATTTTTAGCTAATGTATTTAAATTTAGAATTTGATTTTTACAAAACAAATTTTATTGTCATTTATTTATTTCTCAATGTTGTGAATATTGTGCATACATTTTAAAAAGATACTTTTTCATTACTTTCTATTTTAATTGTGAAATTATTTTATTTTTTCATTGCGTGACTGTTATGGGGCCTGAATGTTGACTACTTGGTCAAGTTTCTGTTATCCACATTGCTGAGCTGGGACTTTGACTTGGAGATTATTGATTGACTTTTTTTTTATCATCTGTTACTTTAACATCTGTTGTCAAGTTTATGTTGAGATAAACTCATTCATATCTTTACCTTTCAAGGTTTGATCTTTTTAGTTGTGCGTGTCATTGACTTGTGAGTGCATTGATTAGGATTTGTGTTAATTTTTTTTTCTCACAGTTTTTGTTCAGGGTTTTTTTAAATGTGCCTATAACTTTATTATATTTATAACTAAATTTGTTTTTATGGAAACCTAAGCTGGCACACAGATATGCTGCATATTGTTATGATAGCAGTTACCTCTAGACTCCTATTATTTCTTGCTAATTACCTATGCATAATTTATTTTTATTTTGTTGAGTCTCGCAAAAGGTGGCCTTAGATTGTTCAAACATTGAAATTGTGATTGTATATGTTATGTAATAAGATGCATGAACATGTTTATTGGAAGGCTGCCTTGTTTTCCCATGCTTATGGGTTGGAACCCATATTTTTTACGTAGGCTACAATAAAAAAAATTATTAATAAAATGATTTTGCCATGTACACACACACATGCTTGTACAGTACATTTTTTGCTGTAGTTTCAACTCCTTGAAAATTTTCTTTCAATTTTTTTTAATGCAAATGTTTTTAAGACTAAGATTGCTTTGATACTTATTAGAAATGTGGTGTGGTTAAAAGGAATCTTTTCTTTTTTCCCCAATCATTAACAGCAACACTAGAAAAAAAAAAACGTCAGAAAGAATCGAGAAGTTTTTAGAGTGGACTACCCACAGCAGACGTTTCAATCTTTTCAAAAGGGAATAAAGTTTTTCTCAATGTGCTGAAATGAAGATCCTGATTATCTAGACAAGTGATCTTTCATTTGAGTTAGAGACTTATTACAATACTATGTGTGTAAATTGTCACCATCTCAGTCTTCCAAATAACAAAGTAAGTTTTGGTTCTAAACTTGGTTCACTTGATCTGAATTATTCAATCATTCATCTACAAGCTGAACTCTCACCTCTTGTTCAATTGGTTTTCTTTTTACTATTTCTTCTGTAAAGTATTCACATACTGTAACATGTCTGATTCACATACTGTAACATATCGGATTCACAGACTGTAACATGTCTGATTCAAATACTGTAACATGTCTGATAAATGAAATGCTAGCCAGTGCTAGGATTTTATAAAATCATCTGTATGTCCTTACTTTTGGTCCACCTTATTAATGAAGTTCAATTTTGATACCACGCAGCGTCTTGTGGCTCATGTGTTTATGAGATTCAATCTGAAAAAGAACAGCAGTGAAATTGGATTCCTTTTTTTCTGGCCATTTTCTATTTTCAAAGATTTTAGAAATTAATTAATAATATGTCACTGGTCTGCTATCTTATCTTATTGATAGACTACCACAGGACTGCTTTCTTGTGTGTAGGAGATATACAGTACATTTTTAACATTTTCCGGTAGTTTTAGTAAAAATGAAATTATATATGTCATCTCTACACCTATTTATGATATAAACATTTTTTTCTGAAACTGTCTAATTAAATTTAAGTAGAGATGGCTGTCCCTTGTGATACAAAGCTGATGGATTAGAAGACTGCTGTCTATGTGCCTTAATGCTGTGTACTATGTTACATCTCTGGAACAGAAATGTTCATTGCACTATTGTGTACCAGATGAAATTCATTTTTTTTTTTTTTTGGTTGTGTTGGTATCTAGGACAACTTGTTATAAACTATATTTTATTGTAGTAACTAATTTAGGAATTACTATCATATCTTTTTGTGTTTATTTGTTGTCAATATCTTTTTCAAATTAATTTTGTATGTTTTTTTTTTAATCATTTTCCAGGGGAATAAAAGTAAGTATAAAACTCTTAGGTCTCTTAACTTCAAACTTTGATGAAATATTTCAACAATCTGTGATTTTTAATTAGTGAGTTTAAAAATAGAAAAAAAATATTGCCAGTCTTTTTGGTACTTTAACATGTGCATGACCGAATGCATGACGCGTAGGACGTAGTCATCTACTTTTTTTTAAAGTAGCGTCTGTATTATATAAGATAAGATAGGATTTAATTTCCACTACCTTCTCCCCCCCCCCCCCTCTTTTTTTTTTCTACTGCTGAGATGTTCATATTTCAAAGTTGAGTTGTGTTGGACCTTGACCTTGTCAACTGCTTCACTGCCTGGCATCATTTCTGATGGTTGATCAATTGGAGGGGCTCGTACTAATGTATTTCCTTCCGTACAATAATGAACAAATATGGCACTGTTTTTTTTTTATTTTATTTTCTTTCTATGTACTTACCACTACCTTAAGGGGAGGTAATTGAGGTCTATAATTTAGCCTCCTTGTTACTGGTTATTACAGAGTTGTCGTGTTCAAATGACGTGCCTTTTTTTTTTTTCCTTCCCTTTTCATTTCCACTAGCAAATATTTTTTTTGTTTCGGTGCTAAATGTAGAATTGTATATTTGATAATAAACAATTTGATTGAAGTTTTTTGTACTCTGTTTTATTTGCTGTTGTTTTGTACGTGACAATGTGGGAACATCCAGTCAAACATTCTGGGCTGCCTTGTCAATAATTAATACACGAGTCAAAGGTATAAGACCAAAACTTGATTTCTTTTTAAGGTACAGCATTTATCTTGACGCAAACCTCAGAGACGATTTGATAAAAAGCTGTGGACTAGGTCTAAAAAATATAAATGCTCCTATTGCCATTAGAGCATGGAAAGGGTAGCCTGAATCTGCCAAGAAAAAAATGACTTGGCAAAGTCTATAAATTTAAAATTAGACTAGATTGACACATAAATACGCGTAGGTCGTAATTATCTTCTGTTCAGAAGGAGCGTCTTTATAAGATACGTGTGCAGATAAGAGAGTTATAGAGACACGTTTGTATTCGTGCAGAAACTTGAAGTATTTTGTTTTATCATGTATTAAACTAAAGGCACCCATTGCTAAAACTACAATGTATAGTAATTTTAAACATTAAACAGAGTCCACCCTTTGAGTAAGTTTTATTTAATTGCCAATGATATAAAAGATTTAATTCAATTTATATGTGTTCCGTCAGTTCTTAACGTTTGAATACAACTCTAATATTAAAGCATGTTTAATGCCCCATGGTCCAATCTTTTGTGGACCAGTAAAGACCAGTGGGGGAGGGATTATCAGGGAGAAGGTTTCCGTGCTACCATGCACAACTTAGGTTGAGTCGGGATTCGAACTAGACCCTCCTCGATAAGTAGTAGCCGATCGGTTTTCGTCACTCGCCACATATCTTTTTGGATGAGATACATTCCTGTTAACTCATTGTTATGGAGTGTGTGTTTTATAGCGATGATGAGAAGATGTTAGCGATTGGTTGGTAGCTATGCAGTGTGAATGATGCAAGATATGCAGCAATGTCGTCAGCTGTCTTGGGTAGGCCAGAGGATATCAGAACGCCAGACTGAAAAGACGTGTTGTAAAATGTTTGTAAAATGGTTTACATGTTTCGGATGTTCCTTCAGAGTTGAAGATAATTACTACCTAGTCCAAACCTCCCGCAGGACGACGGGGGATGGAAGAGGGCAGGGTTTGAACCCTGGACCATCGATAAGTCTGAACGACAGTCCAGCGCGCAAACCGCAAAGGCCAGGCAGCCATCATTTTGTAGTAAGTTAGATTTTGTTCGAAATGCCATTTTATATTATAATTAAAGTCTACTACACATATTTCATGTCATCTACAGAACAGACACAAAATAGAGCAGTGAGATTTATAACAAACGTAGGCCATATATTCCAAATTTGACTATAGTAACACCTTTAGTAGAATCACTAAATTTAGAAAACCTCGGGATAGAAGACTTAAAAGTAAAGTAGCAATTATACATAAAACACTGAACCATAATCTTCAAATGCAAAAAAAAAAATCTAATTAAATACTTAAAAAGACACAAAGATAAAGGCACATTCCTTATTCCATATGCTCAGACGAAACTACGATTGAAGTATCACAAAACAGTTATTCAATTTATCTTTAAGTTTTTTTCAGTTAAAATATAATACTCCTGTAGCGGTTTTGTTGTCTACTAGTAGCTTAGTTTCAAAAGTCATAAACCATGAACAATATACATGAGATAAATTATATTATACCTCAAATATTGTTGAGAGAATAGGCGGCACCAATTAAGTATATTATATCGCATTAATAGTTTCGCGTGTTAGACCAATGTAAATCCAAGTTCATAATTTTTAATGTCTGCGTCTCAATCAAAGCTCGTGCCAGCCGTACAAGTCAGCGTCTGGTGCCAACCAACCATTAGAGCATCAACTAGTTTCAAGAAATGCAAGCCACTCTATTGATCCACAATTTCTTTTCTATCTCCCCTTCTATTTTAAATCATCGCTATTTTATTCCTACTCTGCATAGGGGTCACAACATCTAGTGTTCTATGTCTTTATATAAGTTTGTGTCTGTTTTATTCGCTAGACATGAAGCTGATTAAATTTAACTCCAATAAGAAAGCTTCGAAGATCATTCTATTTAGATGACGAACAATGACAGGGAATTTCGCTGCGTTAAATTTGATAAACATTACTGTAGAGTGGACATGTCAATAAGTTGGACATGAAAATATGTGCAGATAAATCGGGTCTACATGTAATTAATATATACTGGAGTAACACATTCTTCGTCGTAAGTTTTCTTGTTTTGTTTTTTATCTTGATCTGGGTATAAATAAATATTTTTTAGCGATATCTCCGATATTTCCGAAGATTAATGGTGAGCTTATTTTTTTTTTTATAGAGTCTAGTTTTAATACAAGTGGCTTGACAATTTACTGTTGATGTTCTTGTATCTTTTTTTTTTTACACAAATCAGTGGCAAAATAAGAATCAATAATCAGTCTGATATCGTTTTCTTCAATAATATATCAGTAGCATAGCTAAGGTGGTGGAGAATTTGAAAATCCCCCCGGGCCGCCAATGAGTGTTTTTTTTTATATTAAAAATAAATTAAATATTACGCAAAATGAAGTGGACCCCAAAGAGGTAAAGCCCCCTGGCCCCCAAACGATGGAAAATTCCTAGCTACGCCCCTGAAATCTATATCTGATGGCTCTGCTTAAAAATATTAGTCTAAAAGTGGAAACAAAAGTTTGCTGTTCCTAAATGCTGTGGTATGTGTTGATTGTTGTCTTGAAAATCATATGGAAAGAAAAAGTGTGTAATACTGAGATCCTTGCGCGAACAGGTATTCCCGCAGCCTTTTACAGTCCCCAGACAACGCCGCTTGCGCTGGCTTGGACATGTTCGCCGGATGGAGGACAACCGCATCCCGAAAGTCATTCTCTAAGGACAACTTGCGACTGACTCAAGAAAAACAGGCCGTTACATAGATGTAATAAAACGGGTCCTCAAATCAGTGAATATCAATACTGACCATTGGGAAGACAGCTCTATACCGCACCAGATGGAGAGAGACAGTAACCAAGAAAGCTATGGACAGCGAAAAAACATGGGCCTCAGCTCTGGAAGAAAAACGTTCAAGGCGAAAAATGGCCAGCTCCTCTACCACCGAAGCGAAAGCCACCTTAACCTGCGCTATCTGTGGACGGGAGTGTCTCTCCAAAATAGGGCTTCACAGCCACATGAGGAAGTGTGCGAGATGAACCATAGTCGTTTTACGACTGAAGGGGGCCAACACTGTCTCTGGGGAAAAAATACTACCTAACTGGCCGCACTGTGAAAATGTTTGGTTTGACCGTTTGAATTGTTCATAATATAATTATTTTCATTTAAAATTTTGCTTATTTTGAACACTGTTTCAGCGGAAATTCCCGCACTCACCTCAAATGTTTCTTTGTATTCAGTGAAGAGTTGAATAAATAGAAATTAACAGAATGAGAAATTATAGACCACCATCAACTTCATGTGTTTTTTTTTGTTGTTTTTTTTAATACCTCTATTCAAGTCAGACCTTCATTGAACATGGATCCAGGAACCTGGACAGCTGATCTCAAATAAAGTAAAGTCTCTAACGATATTACTAGAAATTTAACAGCTGATGTATATCGCTGAGAAGAGAATTACTAGCTCGTTGGCTATATGGGGAAAAAACTCTCAAGTTTGACCGTTACAATTTTTCAAAGTAAAAATAAATAAACATACATTTGGCTAGAGACTTAATCTAGGTCTAGATCCATCTGATCCAGTACCCATCTAGAAAAGCCCATCGTGTTCGGGCATTTTCGAATTTAAGGGATTATTAATTCAAGTTTATAATAGTTAATACATTATTGTTCATGAAAAATTTCCGCATCGTCTTCTAAGTCTAGATTTCATTGGAATTATTCAATAATTATTTATTTTAAAAAATATGGTGTAGTCAGCTATAATCAGGGCCGCCGAGAGGGTTGTGGCCGCCTGTGTGCGAAATTTAAAATGCCGCCCCCCCCCCCCCTTCTTTTTTTTTTCTCTAAAAGAATAATTCCATGAAGACTGAGCTGGACACTGTTCCAAAAGTGGCTATTGATTTAAATCCATTTTTGTAGACCATTCCATTTTTCCTTGCATATTGGCACCGCTGTTGTATCCCTGAAGTACAACTATGAACCATGCACTAGGAAAAATTTTGAATATACGTGCCTATAGAAATCTAACATTTTGGTTCTTTGTGATTAACATTAAAAACTGATCTCGTTCTAACTACTCGCTTATGTTTCTGTATTTGCGACGATCATAATTGATGAACTGCGGCGGGTATATAACAATGAACAGCGGAAATGATCATGATCTATATACAATTTCTCGATAACATTGCTCATGGTCTGGACGTGGTTATGTTGACGTGTTTGTTTTTGTAAGTTACAGTACACTCATAATTTTAAAAGCTTGAAATACACAAAGCCATTGGGGCTTTTTCAACGTTCCGTACACTTTCATAATAATTATCAAGATTTGTATTTTGGAGAGATGTGCACTGTATCGACAATCATCTGACATACATGGATTCAGTTTTGCTTACAAATTTATCCTACAAATGAAGCAACTCAGCGCTGAATATTTTTCTTGAGTTTGATTCCTAGTAAATAATCCAAAGTACAAGTCACTTAAATAATGACTTGAAAAAAAACATAGTAAGGCAGTGTTTCTCACATTTCCTGGTGGCGACTCCCTAGATAACAACATTTTCGTTCGAGATCCTTTTAAAAGCTGGAGCTCAGATGAGCGATGTAGGCTCCCACAGTAAGGTCCGAGACTTTTTTTTTTCTTTTATATAATGTAATAAATAAGAAAAGAAAATTAGTCACACACTTTAGAGAGTTTTTTTTTTTTCATTTAGCCTTCTTTAATTTAATATGTTATGTTATGCTGATAGGGCCCAAATTAACGTCATGACATTTCACTCAAACGTTGTTGTTGTTTTTTTGGGAAATAGTGTTACAAATATAATTTTTAAGCGTTGTAAAAAGTTCCTCCTAAAGGTAGAATTGAAGATACG